TTTTGAGTTACGAACAGCTCCGTTCACAACATTTTGCTTTGACTTGTGAATGGAGCTTTGACTTACGAACAGAAAAAAGGCAGCGGAAAGGGCGGGCAATTCAAATTTGTAATTGCAAGTGGCCACGAGGCTGCTTCTTTGTAGCTCTTTTGCCTGGGCAGTTAGAGAGTGTGCAATCCGAGGAGGCTGCCTGCTAAGGTAAGGTACTGCTTTATACTTTTTAAAAATTGTTCTGGGTATTTTTGAAGCATGATTTTCAGCTGGGGGTTTATGTTTCCGTGCTGTGATGAGTATTGGGGTGTGTGTTTGTTTTTTGGTTCCCCCCATTTCCGATGGGGGGGTTGGTTCCTTTTTGGAGTGTTCTTTCCCATTTCTGATAGGTCTTGGGGAATTTGTTTGGTTGGTTGGTTCCCCCTCATTTCCGATGGGTCTTGGGGCGTTTGGTTGCTTTTGGGGGGTTTTCCCCTATTTTTGATGTATCTTGCATGCTTTTTGTTTTGTTCTTTTTGCATTTCTGACCTGCTCCGTTTGTTTTTGCAATGGTTCATGCATGCTTCTCTTGCTTTTTTGCTTCGTTCTCTTTGCATTTCTAATCTGCTCCATTTGTTTTCTGTGCCTTTACAATGGTTCATGCGTGCTTCCCTTGCTTTTTACCTTGTTCTCTTTGCTGGGGTCTAAAATGCATTTTAGTCTTTTGCTTTTAAAATCAGAAATGGTTTTGCAAAGGTTTCTTTGGCTGCTGGGGGTCTAAAGTACAGTTTAGTATTTTGCTTTTAAAATCAGAAGTCTTTTTCCAAAGGTTTCTTCTGGTGGTTGCTGTGGTCTAAAATGCATTTAAGTCTTTTGCTTTTAAAATCAGAAATGTTTTTCCAAAGTTTTCTTCTGGTGGCTGCTGTGGTCTAAAATGCATCCCCCTAATGGTAGAGGACGGATTAACCGGCTTTGCATTAGTTCCTATGAGAACGAATGCTTTGACTTACAAACCATGCCTTGACATAAGAACAAAAAACAGCCAGAACAGATTAATCGGTTTTCAATACATTTTTATGGGAAATGCTGCTTTGACCTATGAATGTTTTGACTTGAACACCATTCCAATGCAGATTAAGTTTGTAAGTCAAGGCACCAGTGTACTTCTTTAAATCCCCAAAGTTATTAAAAACAGGAGCAATTCCAATTGTTTGCTGCTTCCAAGAACACTATTTTTGTCTACCAACATTTCAGAGATATATGTTCATTTCCTAAATTCACTACAGATGCTATAAATATATCTTCTTTGGATAACACAGACTAGATGTGGCTGGACTCAAAAACGACATTTTCTTTCTTAAGTCAAAGAAATCAGCATAGTAAATAAGTCTTCTTCCCTTCCGAGATAGTCATAGGTGCTTGAGGCTGCAGCACAATATCTTCACAAATGTCTCTAAACAGTCAAGCTGAAAATCTAAGCCAAAGTTTCATTTAACAGCCTGTCAGTTTTTTGATGTGAAGCTAATGAATGCAGTGGCAAACAAATCCATCAAACCTAACATCAAAACAACTGCACTTCATCCCACCAAAGGAGAGAAAAATGAAATACAACCTGCAGGCCAGCTCTTTGATCTAACTTACCCACACAACAAAGGTCTCTAAGCAGCTACTGCTTCAGATATGCACAAGTAATTATGGACTTGCATTTCAGAAAAGGAGTTAGTAAGTTTAGTTACCCGCATTTTTGAAGAAGAGACTAGGAATTAGCTTCCTTTAAGAACTAGTCATTTAACAGAACATCATGAGAAAAACATAATTAAATATTTTGAGATATCCTCAAATATACCAGGTACTGTAACAATATTCAACATATTTTACTTTGCAAAAAGATTAAAATAAGGAAAAGACCAGAGTATGAAATGGGATAAATATGTATTTTGTTTATAATGGACTACAGACAATGAAAGTGCAATCTTGCACACATTTATCTGAATTTCTAGCCTAGTACAATCTGTAGCAATTATGTGACGTGAGTGAAGCCTGGATAAATAGATTTTCTTTGTTACAGAATGTCCTGTATTATATTTTAATTTTATGGTTTAAAGGGACAGATTGTATTTGTCTTCAGTGTGGAAGGGATTGTCACTCTCATATTGGCCTTCTCAGCCACCCTAGACGCTGTTCCAAGACCTCTATTCAGAGCACGTTAGCAGTCTCTCGAGACTGAAGGATGCCTACACTTGGTTTAAAGGGTAGAAATAGATGTGACATATACAGTTTTCTTCCTGCAAATCACACTTGTTCAATTTACCATTTGTGCTGTTTTCATTAAGGCTTTCCCCTTAACACAGATTTAAGGCTAGATTCTATAAACTGGGACAATATAAATGAAATGCCAGATGTCAAATAAAGGTTTTATTTGATCAGTGCTGAGGCTTGCAGCTTTCCATTAATATCAAGATCTGATCAGGAAAGCAGCATGGAGGAGACATAATGCAATATTATCAGTAAAGTACTTAGCAGTACATATATTGTTAGTGGTAATTTGAATATCAGGAAATAAAATGTGGCTGCAACTATAGCAAATCTATTGTTAAAATGATCTCAGAACATTCATCCCTTTCTGGTTTTCAAAACTGCTTATGCTGATTATTAATGTCTGAGATTACAGTAAGAGTTTGGCATGCACGGAAGAGAAATTCAACCACATAGCAATTGCTTTGCTTTTAGCCTTACACAACAGAAGTTCCCACAGTCTGCAGGACTTGTTGGACAGATAATGGAAACTGTCCACCAGTATTGTCAGTATTTTTGCAGGAAAATAATATTAATTTCAAGGATATGTTTATACTTACGTAAGAGCTGGTGTATAAGCATAAATACATATCCCCAAACACACACCGTGGAATAAATACAACGTAGCAGTAGTAAAAATATGTTAACATTACAAGATCTTTGCTTTATGTTTTCCTCTACTCCTCCAAGCCTCTGCACTACTTATAAAAGTGTTCTGGGGAGTTTGCCAGACTTGTAGAACAGATTTTGGGAACATGCTAATAGGAATCAACTTAATCCAGTTCCACTGAAACAGTTCCATCAGTGGAATGACACAGATGAAGCCAGGTTAAATGGCTTTATTCTGGCTTCAAATAAAATAGAAAAGGAAGAGGATTTTAGAGTGTGTGGCAGGAGATAATGATAAGGAAGAAGCTGCAGAGAGAGAAAAGTGGGGAAATGTATTACATTTTCTCTCATATTCTTTCTAAATCTTTGGGGAGAAGAAAAATCAAGAATCATTATGAAACTTCTTAGCATATCACTTATTGACTTTTCAATTGATAAAGAAATGAATGAATTTCATGAAGGTATATTCATACTGGTAGCTGGATAGCTCAGTGGTTTAGGTATCTGACTGCAGAGCCAAAGGCTGGGAGTTCCATTCCCCACTGTGCCTCCAGCAAGAAGAGCTAGACTATGTGTTCTTCAGCATACTACACAATCCCAGGATGCCTCTAGAAGAAGGGAATAGAAGTAGGGAAAGGTAAACCACTTCTGAGTACTTTCTACTTAGAAAACCCTGAGAAGGGTTGCCATAAGTCAGAATTTGCTTGACGGAACCATTATTATTTTTATATTTATACCATGAAGATAATTCTATCTGCATTTTTTTTGTAGTTGAAGTGACAACCCTTGAGAACTACTACCTCCAATTAATTAAACAATAAGGAAAGAAGACTGTAGCAATGACATCAGTGATGTAGACAATGTTTTGGTGCCATTACCTACAACTTCAAAGTTCCTAATAATCTCTAGCAAAAAGATAGATTTGTTAAAGAAGTGTGATGCCAGAACCTTTTGGGAAGGAAACTGATGAGGAATACAATGCTGTGTATCTGTTTAGTTAAGCACTGTCTATTCTGATTTGTGGTTCACCAAAGACACTATTTTTTCTAATACTCACTACCTTATCCTTCAGAAAGGACTGAATCTATGTCATTCGGTATTAGAGCACATTTTTTACAAATTCTCAGCCAAGGTCCTCCCAAGATTGACTACATGATTGCTAGGGAAAGAGAAAGGCCAGGCCAGCCTCCAGAGTTTCTCCAGTCCCATCTTCCACTTCTTAAGGCCCTTTCCCATTGATGAAAGGGGCAGTGCCTCAGCTGGGAACCTCCACAGCCATATGGAGAAGTCAAGAAGGAAGTCAAGACAGGCACATTTGATCTGGTCTTTGAGAGCTAGCGGGGTTCCAAGTATGCCATACAAGATAATAACAGCAACATATATAAATATATCATAAAATATAACCCCAACATAAAAACTATAGAAACACATGGGTCAGAATCTTACTGATTACCAGCAGAGTGTAATACTTCACTGGTATAATTGCAGTTTATCACCATTGTTGAAGACAAGATTGTGAACAGCATCCAGTTCTATCAGTGAGGCTTCTGCTTGCATAAAGATGTAGAAGCTGCTTCCTCACATAAGTTTGTCAAATATTAAACCAGTCACATTACAGATTACTGTGTGAGCTGAACAATGGAGCCGAAGTCTGCCCATATACTGAGACAGTAAAATACAAGCCACAGAAATAAGAAAATTATAATTTCGAAAACCAGAGCCAGTTTCAAAATAGTAAACCAAAACTAAATAGGTATATCCTGAATTGCTATTTAATCTACACACAAGGAAAAAGCCAAATAGATTTCCTCCAGCAGAGAATTCGACACTAGAGCCACCACATGAAAGACCTAATCCCTCATGTCCATCAGCCTAGTTAATCTTATGCCATGGAACACAAACAGGATTTCAGCCACTATCCAGATTAATTGTTTTTCTGTCTCTGAAGTAGAGAAAAAATGGTTAGAGAAAAATGTACATTTACTTTCATAACACGTTGCTATTTGAACAGTTTGGCCAAATCATCTTCTAATCCTGACATGTTTTATAAGAATATATCTTAAATTCGCAAGTTACCTTTTCAACAAATATAGTCAACAACTTTGTTACTGCCAATGCAAACTTACCAATTTAGCTACTTTTCCATAATCAATCCACCTGACGGTTGCAAAATTGGTTGACTCGGCACAGTTGAAACCATGATTAAATCCTGCATGGTATCCATATGGGAAAGTGATCATAAATTCTCCTGCCTCCTGCGTAATCTAAAAAAAAACAGGGGGAGGGGAAGTTGAATGTCAACATGTTGCCTTGGACTGCATAAACCATGCTTCCCTATCAGATTTGTTCTGGGATTCCCACAAGTCTTCATAAGACATTTTCAACTTAAAATAGTTAGCTAAAATGAAAAAAGTTTGACATAACCTGAAGTGAACTATCAATCCACTAGGCCCAAGAAGAGAGAATGAGAGGGCAGGAGAGAAGACAGAGCTGCAGGCTTATCATTTGCACATGATGTGTGCAGGAAGGGCCTTGTGATGGTTTCAATATCATTAGTGAGAAAGAACATTGTAATTGTCGAGTTACATTTTGTATGAAATACATGTGTGTGTGTGTTTAGCAAACACAGATGTGGAATCAGGAAATTATATAGAGGAACAGAATATCCATTTTACATAAATGTGTACACTACCTTATAATGGCATCATGAATTGGTGGCAACTGCATACTGTGTCCAAGTGTAAGTATATAAATATGGGAATGTGCATAGCCCACTGGTCCACTTGCTGAGATTATGATTCAAGTTTTTTAAGAGTGTGATGTGAGTGCATATAAGTATGAACATTTTCTGTGCCAGCAATTCCCAAATTTATCTTGCCATTCACCTCTACTGATGTCAGTTTAGCAGGTGTGCTATTGCAATAACTGGCAGTTCAGCTGTCACCTGGTAGGCGTAGGCTGGCTTATCAGTGTTCAGCACGTTTCTAGTTCTATCACTATAAGCCACAAAAGATCATAGTCCGATACTCTCTATTCACATTCTCACAGAACCAATTAATCAGAATTACAGTTGTGTACAGACTGCTCTCTGGTGGAACAAGGTGACATTAAATACTGTAATATTCAACTGTACTAAATGTTTAAATGGAGAACTAGGGAGTTCCTTATCTTCTGATATATTTTTATTAGGGGCAGGATACAAATACAGTACATTAAATCAATCAGTCAGTCAGTCAGTCAATCAAATAGTTATGGAATAAAAACTCTACATGAATTCTCAAATCTGTACTACTTGACAACTTTACCATTTTTTCAGTACTTTAAAATACATTGTGGGGAAAGAGGATTGTATTTTCAGATTGGCCAAGAAAATGAAGAAAATATATGTTGCATATGTAATTTTAATATAACAACCAAACAAAAATGATTAAAAACAATTAAATTATATTCAGATGTGTACTACACCACACTTCATCTTTGCCAAAATAGAATAATTCAAACAAAGGTTCACAAATCTCTGATTTAATCCCCTAAATAGGATGCTAGCAACTGTTTGATATACTATTTAAAATGTACAGTGGATATAAAAAGTTTACACACCCATTAAAGTGTCTCTGATGTAAAAAAATGAGACAAAGAGAAATCATTTCAGAACTTTTTCCACCTTTAATGAGACCTACAAACTGTACAACTCAGTTGAACAACAAAACTGAAATCTTTTAGAAGAGAAGTAAAAATCTCATTTTTCTCATTGTCTCTTTTACATCACAGACATTTGACATTTTAAAAGAGTTGTGTAAACTTTTGACATCCACTGTATTTAAATACATTTTGTACACTGAGGACAGAATATACCTCTGGAATGGAAGTATGAAACGTATTCTTCTGTACCACTGCATACAAGCCTAGTATAAACCACATACAGTCATTTTATGGCTAAAAACCAATCATTGTATGTATGTAATAAATGCATTTATGTGAACAGTTCCAGAGCACAGAACAAGCAAAAGAATCATTATGAGGCACTGCACAAGAAGCACATGGCTGCAGCCTCCATGCATTTGATGTTACCCAGAGGCAATAAAGAAATCTATTTTTTTATTGGTTACATTTATATTCCACCCATCTAGTGACAAGCTACTGCTCTAGGTAGCTAAAACATGTAAAAAAGAGAGGTTACTTACCTGTAACTCTGGTTCTTTGAGTGGTCATCCGTGAATTCACACTAATGGGTTTAATCTGCACCTGCGCAGAGATCTCTGGGATATTCTAGAGCAGAGGTCCCCAACCCCTGGCCTAATGCCAGTCTGTGACCTGAGCCAGACTGGGCCGCGAAGACAGACCTACACCCAACACATATTCACCCCTGCACAGCCTGTTTGCACCTGCATGCACGCTCCAGAGTGCCTGTGTGAGCACTGCACCACCGTTTGTGCATGCACGCGAGCATGCGTGCACCCGCACAAGACCACAGCACCATTTGCGAGTGAGAGAGAGTGTGCTCGTTCACGCATGCGCACAAGCACAGGAGGTGCCACGCCTTCCCCAGCCAGTCCGCGGGGTGAAAAATATTGGGGACCCCTGTTCTAGAGCTCAAACATGCGTTCGCCAGGATCCACCTCCTTAACACACGTGGTCCGCCCCTCCTGGCGATTACCTCAGTTCCCAACAGCCTGCCGCTGCACATTAAGAAAGATGTGACAGACAGAGGGGAGGACGGGCGGGAAGTGTGAATTCACAGATGACAACTGGAAGAATCAGTGTTACAGGTAAGTAATGTCTCTTCTTCACAGTCTCTGTGAATGTACACTAATGGGTGATTAACAAGCTTACCTCACAGGTGGAGGGACAAGACTGAGGACAAGACCGCACAATCAAAAGCCTTGGCCCTTACATCCAAACGATAACGGGATGCAAATGTCAACGGAGTGGGCAAAGCAGCAGCCTTGCAAATATCTGGAACAGGTACACCTCGCAGAAAAGCCATGGAAGTGGCTATTGCTCTGGTAGAATGAGCCTTAATCTGTGTAGGCAGAAGCTGATATCTGAGGTGTATGATTTGAACAATCCATCGTGAGATGGTTTGAGGAGATACATGTGTTCCTCTATGTGGCAAATGTATAGAATCAAACAGTCTCTTAGACTTCCGAAAGGCGGCAGTTCTTTTGACATAGAATGCCAAAGCTCTTCTCACATCTAGAAAGTGGAGAGATCATTCAAGATCCGTTGCTGGTGACAGAAAGAAGGTAGGGAGGACAATAAGCTGACGTACATGAAATTTGGAAATGACGTTAGGGAGGAAGGAGATGTCTGAATATATTGTGACCTTATCTGGATGAAATTGCAGGACTGGAGGGTCTACTCATAGGGCTGCAAGTTCAGACACCCTACAGGCCAATGTGATGGCGACTATAAATAACACTTTAAAAGAGAGTAGATGCTCCACCCTACAGACCAATGTGATGGCGACTAGAAATAACACTTTAAAAGAGAGTAGATGCTCAGACGTGGCAAGAGACTCAAAGGGTGGTAATGAGAGGCGACAGAGAGCAGTGTGCAAGGACCACTGTGGTGGAGGGGAAGGTCAGGATGGATGTAGGTTGGTGACACCTCAAAGAAACTGCTTCATAGTAGGATGTCTGAAGAATAAGGCTGGTTGGTGAGCTACAATCGCGGACATATAAACTGTGATCACAGACAATGAGAGATGACAATCGAAGAGATAGGAAAGAAAAGCCAAAACCGCAGGAAGGGTATTTGGAGCCGTAGGGAGATCATTCTGATGAGCGAATTTCTGGAAAGCAGACCATTTATAAGCATAAAGCTGATTTGTGGCAGGTTTTCTCGCGTGAGCGAGGATGGTGCTCAACAAGGGGGGATCCTCCACACGATGAGATGGAGAGACTGTAGGTCGGGATGGCAAATTTGCCCCTGATGCTGGATGAGAAGGTGTGGGAGGAGAGGTAGATGGATGGAGTGAGAGGCTATTGTACTGAGCATCGTGAACCATGGTTGTCTTGGCCACCAAGGGGCTATTGCAATGGCGTTGGAATTTGACAATGTCGCAATTTGACAATGGTATACAGGAGAAGTGGTATTGATGGAAAGAGGTAGAGGAAATGCATATTCCATGTTGCCATGAGACCATCGCCAAGGGAGCCTTGACCCAGGCCTGCTCTGGAGAAGTACTGGATGCATTTGATGTTGCTCGCTGTGCCAAAAACGTCGATGTCTGGATCACCATGGTTCACCATTTTGTGCACAGTTGGAAAAATATGGTGTCGTTGAGGAATCACTCGTGCATCTGAGAGTTCCGTCTGCTGAGTCTCCTAGTTGGTTGCATTGCGTGGCAATGTGCACCACTATGGGGAAGATATGGCGCATTAGGCACCACTCCCAAAATTGGACAGCAAGATACAGAAGAGGTAGAGAGTGTGTACCTCCCTGTTTGTTGATGTAATAAAGTGCTGTCGTATTGTCCGTGGTCATTTGCATTGTGATGCCAGCAATGAGTGGTTCAAAGATGTGGAAAGCTTTGAAAATCGCAAGCAATTCAAGGTTGTTGATATGCAGACCTCTCTCATAAGGGCACCAGGTTCCATGAACTTGCAGATTTGTGCCCCAAACAACAGGGGTGGCATCGGTTGTAATTTGAGTAATCAATTGGAGAGGTGCAAACGATCTGCCAAGAAAGTGGTTGGACGGAGTGATTCTCCAAATTAACTGAGAGGCAAGTTTGGGAGTGACCTGCAGAAGTATTGTGGGTGGGTCGAGAAAAGGGTCGAATAGGGAGAGGTACCATGATTGTAGCGAGCGCATTTTTAGTCGAGTGAGCTGGATAACGGATGTAATGGAGGTGATGAGGCCAAGGAGGTGTTGTAATTGATGAGTCGTGACGAGCGCATGAGGCTGGAAGTGGTTGACAAGAGTATGTATCTTGATTGCACATTCTCAAAGGAGATAGACTCTCATGTGATGTGGGTTTCGCACAGGACCTATGTAAGTAACCCTTTGAGAGGGATTTAGTACTGACTTGGTGACACTGACTTTGAGGCCCAGATCTGCTAGTAAAGAGGAGGTGAGAGCAATGTCCTTCAGCGCTTGTGCATGTGACTGAGCTATGATTAACCAGTCGTCGATGTACGGAAACTGTGAGATTACTAGAGTGTGAAGGTATGCTGCTATGGGAGCCATGCATTTCGTAAATACTTGCAGCGCGGTGGAGGTAAGTAACATTGTTTTTCTGGGAAGGACCTGTATTGGT